AGACTTACGCGTGATCACAGAGGATGAAGATAGAACCCAGATTGCGTGACCCCCAGTCCTGTCTCTTAATCAGGCAGCCATTCTTTTCACCTAAGGGGGGCCCTGTTTTTCTTCCCAATACTGAAAATATTCTTCTGAAAAAGATACAGAATGAAAATGCAACGGTGGCATATTAGAGAAAGTAAATATGGAAGTATTATTTACTCCTTCTCATAACATGAGAACTTAGGGGTCACCAAATGAAATTAATAGACAGCAGGTTTAAAAAAAAACAAAAGAAAGATTTCTTCACAATGCACAGTCAACCTGTGGAACTCCTTGCCAGAGTTGTAAAGGCCGAGACTATAACAGGGTTAAAAAAAGAACTAGATAAATTCATGGCGGATAGGTCCATCAATGGCTACTAGCCAGGATGGGCAGGGATGGTGTCCTTAGCCTCTGTTTCCAGAAGCTGGGAACGGGTGACAGGGGATGGATCACTTGATGATTACCTGTTCTGTTCATTCCCTCTGGGGCACCTGGCATTGGCCACTGTCAGAAGACAGGATACTGAGCTAGATGGACCTTTGATCTGACCCAGTATGGCCATACTTACGTGCTATTGTGTCTATTTGGATGCCTCTCTTTTCCCAATGACAACCTATGTGAGCAGGCTGCTAGTGAGAGGCCTCCAGTGCCACTGTGTCAGTTCTGTTGCTCTCTTTCCGCTCCTTTCTCTGTTCAGCATGCTGTTGTATTTGCTGCAGTCAGACACCACAGAATGGAGTCAGTGCACGTAGTGGATTCAGTCTTGTCACCTTATATTAGCATGAGGAGAAGAAAAAAATGTTATTGGCTCCTGAGAAAACGGACTATGCATTTTATAAAACATTTTTGTTAGGTAGGAGAGAGAGTTCAAAACAAAGATACATTGGCAAATTCAGTGTATTAATCACCGCCCAACACAGTCATGGACACACTTTCTCAGCAACTCCTACAGCTGGTCAACTGGTTCTAGTCCTTGCCGATGGAGAAGGCTGTTTCACATGGGGTAAGATGAGAAGGAATCTTGATGCATCTAGGTATCTACTTCAATTAGAATTTGTACCTGTCACAAGAACTTGGCATTGCCTGAAAGCTGCATCTGATTGATAATATTATATAAAATGTAGTGCACACTACTAGAAGCCCCGTGGCATTATTTGGGCATTATGTGTATAAGTTCTTCCTTCTGGTTAGAAATCCTGAAAAGGAAAATGGCCCTACTGCCCAGCACACCTGCTCTCTTTGAAAGGCCTCTTATACTGAGGAGGCCTCACTGTGCAACCTCAAATACTATTATCATTTGAGGAAAAGAAATGCTTACACATTAATCATATTGTTTCTCAGGGCACTTAAGCCCTTACTTTTGGAGATGGGGGCTACTTTCCCATTAGACAAGAGCATCTGTATTTAAACCAAGGAACTTCTCGCTTGTCACCATTATTGTTTGGCTGTGAAAACAACGTCTGGCACCTCAGCAAGACTGCTCGTGTTGTTTTGCAACAGAGAAAAACAGTTGTTGTAGCAGAAAACTGCTCTTACTGACTGACAACCACCTTTTCCACCTATTAGTTAAAACCTGAGCCTGAAGGAAATGATAATTTTGAACAAAATCTTTCCAAGGAACCACACAGCTTCCTTCACCTTCTGTCCAGGTCATACATTTCTTATTGGGCAGAAACATTGACCCCTGCCTGGTGGACTTCCCTGTGACCGTCTGTCGGCAGGAGGCCTGTCTGGTACTGTCTCAAACATGCCTGCAGTTGTGCTTGAGGATTCCTAGAGAAAATGCCTGCCAAAGGGACGGTAAAAGATGTCCCTCTAGCCTATAAGGAATTTGGGACCTACATAATAAGTAGGGAAGGGCCAACACTCTAGACTGATTCCCTACATAGGAAGTTGTTTTTAAAAAATCTGTCTTAAAAGGTCTGATTTTTCATTGTGTTTCTCTTACAAGAATGGGGTGGGTCAGGGATATTTTAATGTTCTGAAATTTTACTAAAGCGAAAATGTACATATTCCTGCAGTCTACACCCAACTGCTTTCAGTTGTTTTAGAAGGACCTATTATATTGAACTATAATAGGCCCATTTTGTATTCCAACCCAAAATCACTGTAAGTTACCATGGTAATAACACATTTGGGTACAAGTAGTACCATTTTGAGAAGAGGGAAGCTATGAGTTTACCTGCTTACATGATCTCAACAACCAATAGTATTTGAGCATCTCACATATATCGATGCGTTTATCCTCACAACTCCCCTGTGAGGTAGGGAAATATCTCCAGTGTACAGGTGAAGAACTGAGGCCAAGTGAGATTGAGTGATTTACCCAAGTTTGTACCTTGAGGTCTGTGACAGAGCTAGAAATAGAACCTTGATCTCCTGAATCCAAGTCTGGTGCTTTAGCCTTTTTTTGATGTAAGATGGACTTTGATGAAACTGGATTTACATATGGAAACCGCTGGATGCACCCCAGAAGCTGGCATGATACTGTCACAAATGTAGTAATGTGTAGTGCCACCTATTGGTGCAAATGCAGAGCTGAACATGAGGCTCAGTGTTTGCATAATACCAATTAAGGCTCGGGCATGGTGGGAGACTATAATTGTTGAATTACTGTTTGTTTGAATTCATTATTAATTGAATTATTTTTAATTCAACTTAAGCCTTTTATAAATGTCATTTTCATGTTGGCTTTCTTGAGCAAATATCAGAGGGGTAGCCGTGTTAGTCTGAATCTGTAAAAAGCACAGGAGTACTTGTGGCACCTTAGAGACTAACAAATTTATTAGACCATAAGCTTTCGTGGGCTAGTGCCCCCCTCTTCGGTATAATCCTCCCGAAAAGG